ACAATTTTCTAGAACAGTGGCGTTATTATTTTATCAGAAAGATTGACAGAACTGAAATGGAGGAGAGGGTTATTCGTCGGTCAATTTCCTGATCTTGTGAAAATGTTTGGTGACCTCTTGAAGGAAATAGAAGAATCTGCAGTAATTTCTAAGAAAGAAAAGAAAAAGTGTTTGTGTTTGAATTGAAACTTGTTTTGCTGCATGTGATGGATGATATTGTCTTGTTCTTGTAGACTTCAAAGACGAATTATGTTAAATCTTCATTTTCATTTGGTTTGTTTGATGGAGTGTGAATTCTTTGTTGTTGTGTTGCCGTTATTACTGATGTAGAAGAAAATTCTGCAGAATGGTTTGCTTAAAATTTCCTTTTCAAAAGATCCTAAACCCACTGCATAAAGAATTTTACAAAAATAAGAATCATGTTTCGCTAATAATATGATGACTGTTTTCTTGTTATTCTCTAAACTTTTCCCAAAATTCCCAAACATTTTATTGGGAACTGCCAGAGGCACTACAAGCATCTTTCAGTTACCATTCTATCATTGAGAGACTTATAGAAAGGGGTGAGCGAGTTGGAAAATCAAGAGTACTGTATTTCCAATGCTTTTTGTTTTGTGTCCTGTGGCCTTGCTGGGACTATGATGAAGGTGAGATTCCTTTTGCAGCAATGTCAAGGGGATGAGTCATGGGAGTCCTTTTGGGGTTGAAGAACAGGCAAAGATAATAGCATATAAAGGGCAAGATGGGCGTGAAGAGAATTTATCTATCAAGAGGGAGTTCTCTGACTTTGATCTCCGAGCGCATGTAACTATTTCAGGTGAAGAAGAGTTTGATCCAGAGTGGATATGCCAGTGATTCAGTGATTGGGAGGGTTCAGTTCTGGGCTTTACCAAATACAATATACGGATCATCATGATCTTTGAACGATAAAGACTTAAATATAGTCTTTATTTAGAAAGTCAAGGTTTGTTGATGCTGTTAATATTACGTTTATTGGGTCTAATATAACTCGGATTCTAATGAGAACAACTAGAGGTTCTGGTTGAGTGTTTGAATTTCATTCCATTCGTTATTTGTTGTAGAGTTAAATTGAATTTTATGCTCTGTTGCTGATGAATTAATTTTCCTAACTTTGTAATATAGAATTAGCTAGATTGGTTTACATGGTATTTTAGACATCATAAATTGTATCTACTGACTTTCGGGAGTTTGTAATATAATTTTGCCTTGATCAAAACCTGATGAGAATAAAGTTTGTATTTTCTGTGAATTGTAATTCGTGGCAGTGTTATTTGATTTATGCTGATTGTGGCCTTTGCAAATTTGAATATACTGCATGTTCTTTGATGATAAAAATCATGCTTGGAGTGGATCAAGTTAGGTTCTTCAGACCTAGGATCAAGTTACTGCTCGCTGTTGTATTTACTAAGTTAGCAATTGGAATTTTCAGCATTTGAATCTCAAGCACTTTTGTGAATATGGGTATGTGCACAGTCAAGTACCGTGGTAAGTTCAATTTCTAACTCAAGTGACAAACTTCATGCTTCCCTTTTGGTGGATTATACTATGTGAGTATATAGCATAAATCTTTCTGATGCCTCATTCTAATTATTGTTTGAGAAGTAAGAAAATAAAAATGTGAGAGGGTTAAATTGAAAATTGAATCTTGTATTCAGTTAATGGTTTAATGAACTTAGATTTGTGTGTTTACTTATAGACATTTTTGTTGGTGATGTTGCATCACATTCTCTACATTTTAAACGAGTAGAACGATTAAGATGAGAACTGAATTTCCATAGGCATTGCATGAGAGTTGTGGTTAATAAAATAAAAAAAAGGGTAAAAGTAAAGACAGGTTGCAGTAGACGAGGTAGGGAAAAGAAAAAGAGAGTGAGTTTTTTTCATCTCTGCACGGTTTCCATCAAAGCTGTGACTCCACTTGGTCTGTGGTTGGATCAAGCTCAAATTTGGAAGAGAGACTCAAAACACAAGGAGCTACAATCTGAACGGAGAAGATCAGATTTTGAGTTCTGGAACTGGTGTTTTGTACCGTAAACAGTAACTTCCGGTTTTGGTGACATCTTTTCAACATCTTTTTTCTTGTTGGTCATGTTTTTACTATGATAATGATGTTCTTATTGTAATTGTATTTCAAGATTTGTTTGTTCTTTATGTTTGTCTTTACTGGATACATCTTGTAAGCTAAGAAGAATCATTATAAAACATTATTTTGTTGATAGTGGAGGTTTTTTGAGTGGATTTCGATCCCGTGGTTTTTCCCTTTGTATTGAAGGGTTTTTCACGTAAATTCTAATGTTTTTTGTGTGATTGTTTGATGCTGATTTTTTTTTTACTATATTAGTGTGATTATTCTCTAGTTAATATTTCACAAAAATTGGATCCTTAATTTGGCACAAGTTGATATTCAGCAGTCAGCACGGCCGCTAGAGGGTTCTTACTGGCCCTAGAATGGGTAGCTTATGTTTAGGCCATCGCCATAGTATTTGGGTACACAAGCTCGGTAATTGTGAGTCTGCACAATACCTAAGGTTGTTCTTGCCGAAAGAAAGAGAGTAGTGAAGATACAAAGGCTTGTTATTAATGAAGAAATTAAATTTTGATCCATTTGTGAAGGTTAGAGAGAATGAGTGAATTGGTAATTGTGGAGTCTTTTTATGGCAGAATGTTGCCCGAAACTAATAATCCAGTTTTTATGAAATATTAACTAGAGAATAATCACACTAATATAGTAAAAAAAATTCAACATCAAACAATCACACAAAGAACACCCGAAAAACCCTTCAATACAAAGGGAAAAACCACGAGATCGAAATCCACTCAAAAACCTCCACTATCTTACAATGATTCTTCTTAACTTACTAGATGTATTCAAGAAACACAAACATCAAGGACAACCAAATCTTGAAATACAATCACAATAAGAACATCATTATCATAGTGGAAACAAGACTAACAAAAAATGAGTGTTGGAAAGATCTCACCAAAGCCCGTGATTACTGTTTACAGGAGCAAACCACCAGTTTCAGAACTGAAAATCTAATCTTCACCGGTCAGATTGTAGCTCCTTGTGTCGTGAGTCTCTATTCCAAATTTGAGCTCGATCCAACCACAGGTGAAACGGGATTGCATCTTTGAAGGAACTGTAGAACTTTTTTTCACCTTTACTTTATTTTTTTCTTTTATTCACTACAAGTCCTATTGGGCTTTGAAGAAGGCCACCTTGTTGAGAAAAATTTAGAGTACACAACTCTAAACTTACTAATGTTGGACCCAAACAAGTAAACAAATTACTTGTATTATACCCACAATTAAAGATACTACAACACTTTTCAAAAACCACTCACAATTTGAAGAGAAATACAAACACTCAAAAGAAAGCTCACAACTCACACTCAAGACACCACACTCAAACTAAGAATACAAAGACTTAATTTTTGAAGGATACCTAACCCAAATGCAAGGGAGGGTATTTATAGTCCTCACCATGCAATCTACATCACATAAATATAAAATTAAGAAATAATTCTAACCATACATTATTACCACATTCTACACACTTCTCCTAAAAAATCTCTTTTCTATATCCCTCTATAATTTTCTAAAAAAATATATTTCTTCCACATTTGTTGAGAAGCTTCTATTGTTTTGGACTAAGATAAAATGGATTGGGCTTTTATTTTCCTTGGGCTGAAATCAAAATATTGGTTGTGTTTTGTAATGGGCTGGGGTTGATCTTCAACACTCCCCCTCAACACCAGCTCTCACTATTTTCACTGTACCGGGTTGACAACGAAACATTTCAAACTTGCCAATGCTCAAGCCTTTTGTGAACAAGTCCGCAACTTGATCATCTGTCTTGATTTGGCTCATCTCAATTTCTTCTTGCAGAACCTTTTCTCTGATAAAATGATAGTGCACTTTAACATGGTTAGTACTTGCATGAAAGACTGGATTCTTTGCCAAACGAATTGCTGACTGATTGTCACAGTATAACAAAACTGCATAATCTACTTGTTGATGTAGATTATTCATTAGCTGTATCAACCATGTACTCTCTTGAGCTGCCATTGCCGCTGCTCGATACTTAGCTTCAGTAGTTGATAATGATACCGTTGGCTATCTCTTGCTACACCAAGAAATTGTTCCAGAACCAAGCTTAAACACATACCCAGTTGTTGATCTCCTAGTGTCATGATCTCCTGCATAGTCAACATTGCAGTAACCAACTAACTTGTAGTCTTCACCTTTCTTGTACAAAAGACCATAGTCAATTGTACTTTCTCCACATATCTCAGTATTCATCGAACTGCTTCCAGATGAGGCTTCTTTGGATTTTGCATGTACTGGCTCATCATATTAACTGCATAAGAAATGTCAGGTCGAGTCAAGGTTAAGTAGATTAGAGTGCCTACCAATTTTCGATTCATTGTCGCATCTTCCAAATCTTTTCCTTCATGTGAACACATTTTGGCATTTGGTTCCATCGGCGTCGAAATCGGCTTGCATTCAAGCATTCCGAACCTCTTCAACAAATCTTTGGAATATTTCTGTTGACAAAGAAGTATTCCTTCTTGTGTGCGATCTACCTCTAGACTAAGGAAGTGCTTGAGCTGTCAAAGTTCCTTCATCTGGAAACGAATTGATAAATTCTCCTTCGGCCAAAGAATTTCTGCCTCATCATCACCAGTTATGATTAAATCATCTATGTACACTAGCATGATAGCTAGCTTTCCTTCATTGGCTTTGACAAACAAGCTGGAATCTGCAGGTGTTACTGAATAACCACTTTATGTTAGAAATTCAGCAATCTTACCATACCACACCCTGGATGCTTGTTTCAACCCGTAAAGTGCTTTTCACAGCTTACACACATATTCAGGATGATCTTGGCTTTGAAAACCCATTGGTTGGATCATGTAGATCTCCCGATTCAGCTCTCCATGAAGAACAACATTCTTCACATCCATCTGTCACAATTTCTAGTCTTTGTTGGCTGCAAGTGCAAGTAGGACTCGTGCAATTGTAAATTTCGCCACTGGACTAAACGTTTCATCATAGTCTAGTCCGTATTGTTGAGAGAAACCACGAGCTACCAATCGTGCCTTGTACCTCTCAATTGACCCATCTGGACAACGTTTTATCTTATAAACCCACTTACAGGATATGGGTTTCACATCTCTTAGCTTTGGCACCAGATCCCAAGTCTGATTTTGCTGAAGTGCATCGATCTCTTCTTTCATAGCTGTCACCCACTCAGAACTTTGCGATGCTTCTTCAAACATCTCAGGTTCTATTATAGTTGCTTCTTCAACTATGGCTGCATTGGCATATTTGGGATTTCGCATTCGTGTTCTTATTGACCTTCAGAGTTGAGATTGTGGAGTTGATTCTTCCGTTTCACTAGGCCCACCTTCTTCGTTTAGTTGTTGAAATATGCCAGTTTGCCAAGGATTATGAGTCACTCTTTGTTCGACATTGTCGCCGTTTGGATCTTCTGATTAATTTGAACTTGGCTGAAGTTGAACAGTATGCTCCCCCATCTTTTGTTGCAGCTTGTCTTCAAATTCTCTTGAGTCTGGCAACACCTCCTTCTTTGAGGACCACCAAGAAGATGTTCATCGAACACCACATCTCGTGAAGTATAGCGTCTTCCACTCGTTGGATCGCAACATTTCCACCCCTTTCTCTGGCTGTCGTATCCCACAAAGATATATCTAACAACTTTCTTGTAAAACTTGCTCCATAAATGATCAGGAACAAATACATAACATAAACAGCCAAATACTCGAAAGTAGCTAACTGTAGGTTTCATGTTCCACAGTTTCTCAGAGGGTGAAACAAATCCTAACCTCGGTTGATGAAGTCTGTTGATCACAAAGGCTACAGTCCTCATTGCTTCAGCCCAAAACCTTCCAAGTACATTCTTTTCATGTAGCATACTCCAACAAATTTCTGCAAGATGCCGGTTCTTTCTCTCCGCTACACCATTCTGTTGTGGCGTGTTGGCACAAGTGTATTGATGACGTATTTGGCATTCCCTTAGGTATTGAGAGAACTCGCTTGAGCTATATTCTCTCCCGTTGTCTGTACGCAAGCAACGAATCTTCTTTCCCACTTCGCCTTCAGTTGACTCTCTAAACTCTTTAAACTTTGAGAATGTGTCAGATTTTTCTTTCATAAAGAAAACCCACACAGACCTTGAAAAGTCATCAATGAATGTCACCATGTACCGCATACCGCCAATTGATGGTTGCTTAACGGGCCCAAATACATCAAAGTGAACTAATTCCAATGGTTCTTTTGCTTTAAACTTCGATTCCTGGTATGACAATTGGTATGCTTTACCATCCTGGCATCCTGACAGACCGTGTCTATTCGCACGTCAAGTTGAGGAAACCCCTTCAGCATTGACTTCTTCATCATCACGCTTAGCTTAGAATAGCTAATGTGTCCCAGCTGCATGTGCCGCATGTGCCGCATGTGCCACATGTCTACTGTCTCGTTCCCTCTTATCTTGTCTACGTATGTAAACTCTGCTGACATCATGTAAACTGACTCCAATAGTCGTCCCTCCATCGTTGGCTTTTTTGAGATCTTGAGGTCTTGAAACACCTTCATATCTTGCAACCCAAACAGGACATAGTTGTCTGATGATGTCAATTGAGCCACAGATAGCAAATTTTTCTTCATTCCTGGAACATGGTAGACATCTTGAAGTTGTACCTGGTTAGGATTATACTGAGGTGTAACTATTGTTTTACCGATGTGTGTTATCAGTAAACTTAAGTTGTCGGCTGTTACCACCACATGATTTCCCTTGTATTCAGATAGATTTTGCAACTTTTGTTTATCACCTGTCATATGATTTGAGCACTCGAGTCTACGATCCAATCATTCTCGTAGTCAATCCTTCTTGGTATTGTTGCCGCAAGGGCTAATTCTTCTTCCTCCATAACGAATAACGCTTCGGCATCCCAATCATTTTTGTTATTCTCCTTAGGACTAGAAGTAGCAGTATTACTTTCAACATGCTTTTTCTTGGTCCAACAATCTTTCGCCATGTGACCCATCTTCCCGCAGTTGTAACACTCACCATCGAATTTTCTGCTATTACCGCGATTCTTCGAAGCTCCCCCTGGACGAGAGCCTTCATTTCCTTGAGGAATTTTCCCTTTGTCACCCTCCTTTTTAGATCCACTACCATTGTACCGCTTGAAAGTGCCTCTGCTTTTGCTAGTGTAGAGCGCTTCTTCCTCACCCTTCAGCAAGACTCCTCCTATTTGCTTAGCCATAGCTTCTTGAGCAGCCAATAAATTCTCAAACTCAACAAGAGATGGTTGTGTCGGCCATCCTTGTACAGTGGTAATGAACAGTCGATATTCGGGTCTCAAACCATGGATAATTATTTTCTTTATGCTGGTTTCCCCAATAGGAGCTATTGGATATAATTCTAAAATTTCGCGGCATATCGACTCAACTTGTAAAAGTACTGGGCAATCGTCATGTCACATTGCGCCATCGATAGCAGCTCGTTCTCGAGAAGTTGCAGTCTTGTATCATTCTTCTTTGAAAAGAGTGTAACAAAAGTGTCCCATGCTTCCTTTGGTGTTTTGGCATCTCGAATGTGCTCCAACATTTCTTCTTCAATTGTGGTCTTTAAAGCAAACAATGCTTTGCCTGCTTTAATTTTCCACTTGCCGCCAGTTGTGTAACTTCATCACCACCAACAACCTCCCAAAGGTCCTGACCTTGTAGGTAAGACTCCATACATGTTGCCCACATGTTTTAGTTTTTGTTGTTGAGCTTCTTGATTCCTCCAACTACTTGAAGGTCACCCATCGTGCTGGCAGGACTGCGACTATACCAAACAAGCTTGACTAACAAACTTGTAGAGTACCAAACTCCTCACGACTCAAGATAACTCCACCAAGAACGATCCTTGATTGTCCCGCTCTGATACCAATTGTTGAGAAAAAAGTAGGTACATAACTCTAAACTTACTAATGTTGGACCCAAACAAGTAAACAAATTACTTGTATTGTACCCACAATAAAAGATACTACAACACTTTTAAAAAACCACTCACAATTTGAAGAGAAATACAAACACTCAAAAGAAAGCTCACAACTCACACTCAAGACACCACACTCAAACTAAGAATACAAAGACTCAATTTTTGGAGGATACCTAACCCAAATGCAAGGGAGAATATTTATAGTCCTCACCATGCAATCTACACCATATAAATATAAAATTAAGAAATAATTCTAACCACACATTATTACTACATTCTACACACTTCTCTTAAAAAATCTCTTTTCTCTATCCCTCTACAATTTTCTAAAAAAATATTTTTCTTCCACATCTGTTGAGAAGCTTCTATTGTTCTGGACTAAGATAAAATGGATTGGACTTTTATTTTCCTTGGGCTGAAATCAAAATATTGGTTGGGTTCTGTAATAGGCTGGGGTTGATCTTCAACACACGTCACATATGAGGGACCCTGGCCGAACGCAGAATTCTGGAAATCTAAATCTGTCATAAAGTAACTGAAGTTGATCAACACGTGTTGAAAGTCCTTTTGTTTTGATCTTAAACGCATTTTTTCAGGCGGATTTCTCATAACCACAGGGCAATTTGAAACTTCTAAGAAGTTGTGCAGCATTAGCATGTTAAGTTTCTGTGTTATTTCTGATACTAATTTTTCATCTTAAACGTGATTACTATTGATTCTGGCTTCATGCAGGCGAGTTGTAGAATCTAAATCTCTTCTAGTTACGTATTACTTGATATGATTGAGCTTTCCAAAAATCTTCAATCATGATGTAGAATCAAAATATGAAGTTCTCCAGACGGCAATGCATTGTACACAATTTGTCAAATGTATTAACTAATATACTGAAGAAAAAATTATAAAAAATGAAAAATGAAAACTAAAAGATTTTAATATAAATTGGATTTAGATAACACAGCTGCTACTTCGTTTTCCGTACAAGTGAAAATCTAAATACTGATCCAGCGTCATGAATATGGCGCCCTTTTGATAACAGTATAGGTATCTTCTTGATTTTTTGTTTCTTTTTAGTCTCCCCTTTACGTCCGTACTCGCCATAACAGCACCAGAAAAGTACATTGATTTCCTTTTGAAAATAACAGTTAGGGTACTAGTTCTTAATCAGACACCAATCAATGGCGGAAGACTTGAGGAGGCTAGTCGCCAACTTGAGGTTATACGTGGCAATGTTCAATTTCCTTGAGGAAGGGCAGAGTAAGTTGGATCCTTCAGATTTTAAGTACAATTTTCTACAACCTTTGCTTGATTTTTGCAAGGGAAAGAATATTGACAGAACTGAAATGGAGGAAAAGACTTTTCACACGATTGGCCAATATCCTGATCTTTTGAAAATGTTTGGGGACATCTTGAAGAGTCTGGTCGAGTAGAGGATGGTCTTGAGGAATCTTGGTCATGGAGAAATTGAAAATACATCTTAGGAAGAAGAAATATATAAGTGTTTGTGTGTGATTGGGTGCTCCTTGAGGTACTGTTTTCCTGGAGTTATTTCTTTCTTGTGATGGGCTTTTGCAATTTGCAGACTTTAAAAGCTCGAATTACGTTAAATCTTGATTTGCATTTCTTTGGTTTGATTGTTTGTGTTTTCGTTATTGTTTTCTTTGTGTGATTAATGATGCAGAAGACATTAAATTCTTCAGAAATTTCCAAACTTAACTTAGACAGCTGCTTCTTCGATTTCTTTACAAGTGTAAATCCCAATATTGGTCCACGTCATAGACGCCATTTTTAATAACAATTTAAGAATCTTCTCGATCTTTCCTTTTATTTTAGTCTCCATTTCATGACCATAGTCCATATATAGTCACCATAACCGTACCTAAAAATTACATTGATTCTCATTTGAAGAAAAGGGTTAGGGTTTTTCTTAATCGACAACCACCGAATGATGGAGGAGGAGAGGCAGAGGCTTCACCGGGAAACGTTAAGTTTTGTTGAGAAAGTGAGGAGCAAGTTGGATCCTTCAGATTTTAAGTACAATTTTCTAGAACAGTGGCGTTATTTTTTCATCGGGAAGATCGACAGAACTGAAATGGAGGAGAGGGTTATTCGTACGATTGGCCAGTTTCCTGATCTTGTGAAAATGTTTGGTGATCTCTTGAAGGAAATAGAAGAATCTGTAATGATTTCTAAGAAAGAAAAGAAGTAAGTGTTTGTGTCAGAATTGAAACCTCTTGAGGTACTGTTTTCTGCGACTTATTTCGTTCTTGCTGGATGTGATGGATGATATTGGCTTGTGCTTTGTAGACTTCAAAGACGGAAATATGTTAAATCTTGATTAGCATTTGGTTTTGTGAATCTATGTGTTTTATTACCTATGTAGAAGAAAATGCTGCAGAATGGTTTGCTTGGAATTTTCTTTTCAAAAGATCATAAAGAATCATGTTTTGTCAATAATCTGCTGACTGATTTATCATGATTCGCTAAACTTTTCCCAAACATTTCCATACATTTTATTGGCAACTGCAATAGGCACTACAAGCATCTTTCAATAGTCAATTCAATCATTAGACTTAAAGTGATAGAGGTGAATGAGTTGGGAAACAAAAATATTAGGTTTATAATCTCTTTTCACAAATTTTCTTGGTTAGGTCATAAATAGGTAGACAAGACTCATGATAAGCAAGCAGAACCCATTTGTGAATTGACTAATATATAGAGATTATAAGAGAAATGATTATAAGTGTAATATTATTGGTTGAGAAATCAAGAATACTGTATATGTGGGTGGTGAAAGTAGTTGTTATGTGCGATGGAGAAAGTCTTTTGTACAAAGAACCAGTCAAGTGGGTTACGTCAGAGCAATGTGTCTGACATACATACATACTCCTCATTGGCAGGTTGCATGTGCATCAGTTACACAAAGGTTTTGTCTCTATCTGAGAAAGTGAAGCAGAGGAATCTGGTCATTGAGATTTGGGTTTTGAGGGTTAGTTCCAAAATCTGTATACTCCAAATCATTGTCATTAGTTTTGTCTATTAACTGAACCTTTTGTATTTGGCCCGTAGAATTGAACCGACTACCAGTTAATAAGCTTATATTTTGAAATAATGCTGTGGCTAATTTTCTTGCCAAATCTAATGACCATTTCCTCAGTATTTCAAAGAATTTATGAGTGGTAATAAGAGGTTTAAGGATTAAATTTCCCTCCCCTGTTCCAACCTTGGAACAAAATTGGTTTAATTCTGAGTTTATTATGGGAGTGCATAGTAAATATAAGTGCAACTACAAATACATAATTTGCATTGAAGTCACAACAACAGTAAATTGACCTTAAATTTCTCCATCCCAGATCTCTTAAATGGACTTGTAAGGACCCTTCTCTGACACAAATGACTGAATGATGTTCCCTCTCATCTGTGGAATTTGTTCTATTTTCTGAAGTTCTTCAGCACTTAACCGCCAGTCAAATATCTCAAGGTTTTCTTTCATTCTTTCTCCGTCAAAGCTCTTCACAACTAAACTTACTCCTTGCTCATAAACCCACCTGAGAGAAACCTTCACATATACAAAATAAAGCAGAGAAGAAGTCAAGCATTAAATCTCGTCCTTCCACTCGAAAATATCACTAAAATAAGTTCAGATAACTTGAAAAAAATTGGAATGAACTGACTCAGAAATCTAATTACCTGAGCAACTGTCTTTCCTTTAGCAATTGCAATCTCTTTCAGCACTTGAGAATCCATGTCTCTGTTAGTTCCCCAAACTACTCCTTTGGCTCCCAACGGCGAATAAGCTGTTATATGGATGCCCTTTTCCTCACAGAACTCTCTCAGCTTCTTCTGTTGCCAAACTGGGTTCATCTCCACCTAACCAAAATATCAAACACGCGTGTTTATTCAGCTATATCAACACTAGAAACATAAAAATTTTGTTAAAGAATTGACTTCTAACTTGATTGACAGCCGGAGGGATTTTTGCAGATGCAAGTAATTTCTCAAGCTTCTTGCAGGAAAAGTTGCTGACTCCTATGGATTTCGTAAGACCAAGCTTTTGACATTCCTCCATGGCCTCCCAGGCAGATTCCAAATCAATTGCAACGATATTTTCTTCATTAATCGCAAACCCCGACCCTGGTTTCAAGCTTCCCGGAAAATGAATTTGATAAAGATCAAGGTAATCCAACCTAAGATTCCTGTAATATTGAAACAAAATACCAAGGAGTCTGTATATATATAATATATGTAAAAAATAAACTAAGAAATTAATGAAAGTAGTAGTTTACTTGAGAGTGTTTTGCAGGGCAGGGAGGACAAGCTCACGGTGTGAATCGGTAGTCCAAAGCTTTGAAGTGATGAAAAGCTCATCGCGAGATTTGATGAGGCTGAGATGTAAAGCTTCCGCTATTGCTTCGCCGAGATATTGTTCGTTCTGGTACATTGAAGCAGTATCGAAGTGTCTGTAGCCCAGTTGAATTGCTTGGAGAACAGAATCTTCTGTAGCTCCAGTTGAGTTGAAAGGGAATTCGGCTGTGCCAAAGCCTACCAGAATGGTTTCGCCATTTGAGGGTAAGATTGCCACTGGAATGCTCACCATTTTCTCCAAGAGAACTCAACCCCGTTTAGTATTTGCATTCCTTTGTTATATATAAATGATGTTACCCTTTTGATATAGACTTTGGATCGAGCTTTAAAGAGTTGATGTTAATCCAATGGTTGCAATAAGGTAGTGTATATTATTTACAGCCCGCCGATTAACTGTTTTCGAATTAATTTTTTTTAGTAAGTTTTAATGTTTCTTCATCAATTGCACATCACTTCTCTAAATATAAAAATAAAAAACAAAAAAATTAAAATAAATTTATGTAAGCGTGGCCTCATCACTTGATTTTATTAATTTTTATTAACCACTTTTATATAAAACATAACTGAGACCGTGGGTTGAAGCCATATACAACCCCTTTGATTTGTTGTTACTATTGGACTATCCATGGGTGGATCATATAGGTCTTTGGGGTAACGTATTAGAGAAATATTAATATTACAAAGAGAAATACAAAGAGAGGCATACAAAGACAAATCCTGCCCTTAAAAGAAAGGCAAAAGAGAGAGAGAGACAATCATTAAGACTAAGGGCGGGATTTGTCTTTGTATGTCCCTCTTTATATTTCTCTTTGTAAGGCTAGTATTTCTCAACTTATTATTGCAAACTGGGATATAAAATAAATTGTTTAATGATCTAGATAATCAAAGTGTACAACCGAACAAATTAAAATAATTGTTATTGTCCTTTTTCAGGAAAATTGCTATGTTTCAATAAGGATTTTTCTCTGTCGCCGTTAACATTGTGTGTGTGGTTGCTTCCTACCTCCAATAATAGAAAGAGAATTAGAAAACCAGCCAGCGTCTGAGTATTAATCAACCAACAAAACAACAAACTGGCTAAATTATTCAACAGCTTTAAATAATAGCTAAAGTACAAATGCAGTAACCTTATGTGTGGCTATAATAGCTAAAATACAAATCCGGTCTTATAATTCGGACTTTAATTTTCAGTAGCAGGTATTAACTTACGAATGAGTTAATCCAAGTAAAAAAATGACAAAACATACTAGAGTTAACTCATACACAAAAGAAAAAATGTAATGTCTCTCACTAGCAAAAGTCAAGTCCGAAATTAAAAAAAACCAGAATGTCTACAGGAGATAGAGATTGATCGTATATTTATAGGATGAACGACATGTTCCCACCCGAAGTTTGCATTTACTACTCAAAAACTTTAGAAAATACAATTACCCACTTTCTGTTAAATATATCCGTTAAGACTGGAGGAGGATAAAATGGTAAATTCAAAAACAGTCAAGGATAATTATCTTTACCCCTGTATTCCCATCTTTTTTTCATCTCGCCCCTCCCATCTTCATCTTCTTCATCTCACCTTTTTTTCTGGCGAATACCCATATTTCAAGCTTGTTTCCAGTCGATTGGCAAACCGGAAATTCATCCTTCCACCACCACTGGAACCTCCTTCACCCCCTCTTCTAAACCCACCATTCAATTGGCTTTTCCCACTCCCTATTTGCCGTCCACTGGTTGTTTTTGGGCTGCCCACCATCGATTCGTAAAATTCCCCGGCCAACCTGCCCATCTCCAAACACCAAAAGGCAACCTGTCAATACCAAAAGACTCATCGGATTCTCCTCTTCATAACCCCCATCAGTTTGGCCCGAGCTTGTCTATCGTTTTTGTTGGCGACTCCCTCTTGGATTTGTGCGACTTTGAAGTTGGGGTTGTTTTGATTGGAGCTTTTGAGGGGTTGATTGGGGGTAATTGCTTATTTGTTTGGAGTTGGGCTTGTTGGTAGTCTGTTGTGGTTTTGTACTTTTGTTTTCCGGCTGATTCCTGTCGCCAGTGGTTTTGCAAAACGCCCACCAAGTGTTTCGTAAAAAGGCCTCAAACAGCCTTCTGCGAGCGTTAGAGCCAGAATTTGAAATTTTTTCTTCTTAGTTTTGTTGAGTCATGTGAGTTTATTTGATTAAGTCTCTTTGTTTACATTATGAGTCTATTGTTTTGTCCGAGTCCATTGGAGTCTATTATTAGTGGGATAATGCTTAAATTGATACTGTTACAAGTCCTAGTCTTTGGGCACTTATGCAGGAGTTAGTGGCTAGATATTTTCTTTATGAATATAGCCGTTTGGCATTTAGCTCTATAAATAGAGCAGTTTGCTTTTGAGTCATTGTAATTTGCAGTGAAGCAATAAATAAATCTTGTCTTTTGTCTCTTTCTTTAATTTTGTCAACATTTGGTATCAGAGCTGGGTTAAAACAAAAAAAATAGTGTGAGGAGTTTGACAAAAAGTGAGAGAAGAAAGAACAAGGTGTGGTGTTTGCTAGTGAGGTTGAGAGAAAAAAAAAGGGCCAGTTTTGTGAGAATGAAAGGACGTATTGCAGCAACTTTATTTCTTTTCTCCTTCACTTTGTTTTATTTTTTGCAGCAGCAGTGAACGATGGCCATCGAAAACTTTGTTCAACCGTCCATTCCTCGCTTTGATGGTCATTATGATCATTGGAGCATGTTAATAGGGAACTTTATAAGATCTAAGGAGTATTCGCATGTCGTCTCTAAAGGAATTACGGAACCAGTAGATAGAACGACAATGACACAAGCACAAAGAATGGAGCTAGAAGGGCAGCGGTTGAAAGATCTCAAGGCAAAGAATTATCTTTTCCAAGCAATTGATCGCTCAATCTTAGAAACCATTCTTTGCAAAGACACTTCGAAACATATTTGGGATTCCATGAAGAAGAAGTACCAAGGTTTAGCAAGGGCAAAAAGCAGCAACTTCAAGCATTTCGTACGAAGTTCTAAACACTTTGAATGAAGTCGGGAAAATCAGTTACAAATTATATCTCTTGACCAGTGGCGATAGTGAACAAGATATGATCCATGGGGACAAGACAAAGGACGTGACCATAGTAGAGAAGATTATTCGATCCATGACACCAAAAATTAATTTTGTTGTTTGTTCCATAGAAGAATCTCATGATATTGATGAACTTTCAATTGACAAATTACAAAGTTCTTTGTTGGTTCATGAGCATAAATTTAACCAATAGGAGAAAGAGGAGCAAGCTTTGAAGGCCTCAACAGAAAATCACTCGGCGACAAGAGGAGACAGAGGACGAGGTAGAGGTCGAGACAAAGGCAGAGGAAACAATGATCGTGGAAATCAACAACAACACCAACACCAACACCAAGACAACAAATTTCAAGGAAGAGGACGAGGTGGCAACCACTCGACTACATATAAATCGAGGTCAATAGACAAGTCCAATGTGGAGTGCTACAGATGTCATAAGTACGGTCACTATAAGTTTGAATGCCGAACTAATCTGAATAGACAAGGTGAAGAAAGAACTAACTTTGCAGAAAAAGAAGAAGAGGTGTCTCTTTTGATGGTGTGTCACGTAAAGGTAGAAACTCTACCAAATATGTGGTATTTAGACACTGGCTGCAGCAACCACATGTGTGGAGATAAGAAGGCGTTCTCTGACCTGGACGAATCTTTTCATAACACTGTTAAGTTTGGTGACAACTCCACAGTTTCTGTTATGGGGAAATGAAGGGTAACTATTCAAACTAAGGAAAATTCCATCCACACTATCTCTAATGTTCTTTTTGTCCCAGATCTAAAGACCAACTTGCTGAGTACGGGTCAGCTGCAAGAGAAGGGGTACGAGATTTCTATCAAAGATGGAGTATGTCAAATTCAAGATGCAAAGTTAGGCTTAATTGCTCAAGTTAACATGACGGTAAATCGTATGTTCCCGCTTTATCTCCACAACACCACTCATTCATGCTTCTCAGCAAGACTGAATGATGCAGCATGGCTATGGCATTTTCGCTATGGTCACCTAAGTTTTGGTGGATTGAAGACTTTACAGTAGAAAAATATGGTGACTAGTCTTCCTCAAATTACTGCTCCATCTGAAGTTTGTGAAGAATGTGTTGTTAGCAAACAACACCATAATCAATTTTCGCAAGGAAAATCATGGAGAGCAAAGAAGCAATTGGAGCTGGTTCATTATGACCTTTGCGGGCCAATAAATCCACCTTCCAATAGCGATAAAAGATACCTAATCACCTTCATTGATGATTTTAGCCGAAAAACATGGGTGTATTTTTTACAGGAAAATTTTGCAGCTTTTGCAGCTTTTACAGCTTTTAAAAGCTACAAAGTTCTTGTTGAAAAAGAAGTTAGCAACCAAATAAAAGTTCTTCATACTGATCGTGGTGGAGAATACAACTCATATGAATTTGCAAATTTCTGTGAGACTCATGGAATTCAAAAGCAACTTACAACAGCTTACATGCCGTAGCAAAATGGCATTGCAGAAAGGAAGAATTGTACAATCTTGAACATGGTGCGGTCAATCTTGGCAAGGAGTGGGATTCCAAGAAGTTTTTGGCCAGAAGCTATCAATTGGAGTATTCATATACTAAACAGAAGTCCCACCCTTGCAGTTCAAAATGTGATGCCGCAAGAAACTTGGAGTGGACGTAAACCAACTGTCGAGCATTTCAAAATTTTCGGTTGTATAGCATATGCACATATTCCAAATCAAAAGAGAATAAAGCTTGATGACAAAGGAGAAAAATGCATTTTTCTTGGTGTTAGTGAGCAGTCAAAAGCATACAAATTGTACAATCCCATCTCCAAGAAAATTGTCATTAGTCGTGATGTAATTTTTGACAAAGAAAGATTCTGGACGTGAAAAGAAAACAATGTCAAGCAACAAATACTAGCAGACTTTGATGGAGAAAAAGAAAGGCAACAACCCGTGGAGAATGGACAACCGGTGCAAAATGAGCAACAACCAACTGTAGAAGACCTTCCAAGCCTAACTGGAGTTGATGTTGCTGATGAACAATGACCTCAACGAGTTAAAAAAAGACCAGCATGGATGGCTGATTATGAGGTACCTCGGAATGATCCGTCTGAAGACCAACTTACACATTTTGCTCTTTTTTCAGATTGTGATCCTGTAGCTTTCAAAGATGCTGTCAAGGAGTCAAAGTGGTGGTAGGTTATGGATGCAGAAATAGCAGCCATTAAAAGAAACAACACTTGCGAGTTGACAAAGCTTCCAAAAGGGCAAAAGAACATTGGTGTGAAATGGGTATACAAAACGAAACTGAAGGGGAATGGAGAAATTGACAAATACAAGGCACGCTTAGTCGCTAAGGGCTATAAGCAAGAGTTCAGCATCGACTACAAAGAAGTTTTTGCTCCAGTTGCAAGACATGACATAATCAGACTAGTGATTGCATTGGTGGCCCAAAACTCTTGGCCTATTTTCCAGTTGGATGTGAAATCAACATTTTTACATGGCGACTTGGAAGAACATGTATTTATTGATCAACCTCTTGGTTATGTGAAGCTTGGAAGTGAAAATAAGTTTTATAAACTCAAAAAAGCATTGTACGGGCTAAAACAAGCTCCACACGCTTGGTATAGTCGTATAGATGCTTATTTTTCTAAAGAGAGATTTAACAAATGTCCACATGGGTATACACTTTTTACAAAGACTGGAGATGGAGGAAAATTTCTCATTGTTTGCTTATATGTTGATGATCTTATTTTCATTGGAAATGATAGTGCCATGTTTGACAAATTTAAACAATCTATGATGGTAGAATTTGATATGTCTGATCTTGGAACGATACATTATTTTTTGGACATTGAAGTGGTGCAATTTGCAGCTGGAATTTTTATTTCTCAAAAGAAGTATGTGCAAGACATTTTGGACAGGTTTCAAATGAAAAATTGCAACTCTGTTAGCACACCTACTGAAGTTGGTTTGAAGCTTGTTCGAGATACTGAAGGAAGGAAGATTGATAACACTTTTTACAAGCAAATTGTAAGGAGTTTGATGTATTTAACAGCTGCAAGACTTGACATAATGCATGTTGTAAGTCTTATTAGCAGATACATGGAATGCCCGAGGGAGATACATCTTTTAGCTACAAAAAGAATATTTCGATACTTGCAAGGGACTGCTGGTTATGGGTTGTTTTACAAGAAAGGAGAAACGTCAGATTTAATTGGATTTACGGATAGTGATTATGCCAGAGATCAAGATGATAGAAAGAGCACTTTAGGTTATGTCTTTATGATAGGTTCAGGAGCTGTCTCATAGTCTTCAAAGAAACAACCAATTGTCACGCTGTCAACAATCGAAGCCGAGTTCGTTGCAGAAACTTCATGTGCTTGCCAAGCTGTTTGGTTGAGAAAAGTTATTGAAGAGCTCTATTTCAAGCAACAAGGACCGATCCCAATTAATTGTGACAGCAATTCAACAATTAAGCTCTCCAAGAATCTTGTTTTACCTAGGCAGAGTAAACATATAGATGTGAAGTATCACTTCTTGAGAAATCTCACCAACGATGGAATCATTGATCTTACCTTCTGCAGAAGTGAAGACCAAGTTGCTGATATATTTACTAAACCCCTCAAAGTGTCGTTATTTCAGAAGCTACGGAAATTGCTTGGTGTACGCACTTTGGAATGACCAGTTTCAGGAATGATTTTTTGTTCTAATGTTGTCTAAACTGACTATTTGAAAATCTTTCAGTTTAAGGGAAGGAATGTTGAGTCACGTGAGTTTATTTGATTAAGTCTCTTTGTTTACATTATGAGTCTATTGTTTTGTCCGAGTCCATTGGAGTCTGTTATTAGTGGGATAATGCTTAAATTGATACTATTACAAGTCCTAGTCTTTGGGCACTTATGCAGGAGTTAGTGGCTGAGTTAGTGGCTAGATATTTTCTTTATGCATATAGCCGTTTGGCATTTAGCTCTATAAATAGAGCAATTTTCTTTTGAGTCATTGTAATTCGCAGTGAAGCAATAAATAAATCTTGTCTTTTGCCTTAGAAATATTTGTCTCTTTCTTTTGTTTTATCAACAAGTTTTCTATTCTTTGATGATTGATTGATAATACCTGTTTAATGTACTATTGATTTGGGTTGGAAGTGTTTTAAATTTGTGGTGGTTTGTGGAAGTGGTGATGTCTGTATTTGGTGGTTTCGGTGGCAGGTTTGGAGTTATTGGAGGTCTAAGTGCCGAAATCGATTCCTGAGATTTGAATTCAAATAGGGAAGGGTATTTTTATCTTTACAGTAACTATCAATCTCACATAACAGAATTTACTAACATATATTAACGGAAGGTAGGTGATTATTGTTTTGAAACTTTTCGGGTAGTAAATTGTCGTTAGAGCAAAGTTTGGGGGTGGGGAAATCTGTTGTTCGCCCTAAATTTATAAATTACATATAAAATTCTGATTTGAATGAATAAAAAAGAAAGAAAAGAGCACATTAATTTTCCATGTGGATTCTATTTAATGTCATGCTGAGTCATGTAAGATTAATTTATATGACCATAATCTGATCAATGTCAGTAATTAAATAATTCTATGCCATGTAGGATAAAATGAACTAGGATATAGGAAATTAAACTTCTTTTGGTATACCGTAAAACTTTTAAAAAAATAATTATAGGTTGTTTTTTATTATATAATCAAACAAAATCAATTTCGCTACGGTTATAAGTTTATAATATTTTAAGGAGTAAACGACATATTCCCACCCAAGGTTTGATGAAATCTCAAGCCGGTACCCCAGGTTATATTTATTCTAGATTCCCACCCTTAAAATAACAATGTTAGTAATTTTTAGGGTTTAGAGGGTGTAATTACCATAATGTCGTTAACCCTAAATTAATAAATTATTTTTTAACCCCTAAATTAGTAGAATTATAACTTACCATTTTATTTTCAAATTATGTCAAAAACACCCTCGGTCACTACACACCCTCGTCGAAACAACCCGATTTGGGCTGTTTCTGACGGCGTCGAACCTGGTGGTCACCTCCATCAACTTCCCATAGTTTGTCATCCAAAACCCCTCTGGTTCCCGACTCATTGGCCCCTCCAATTGCCGGCACTGTTAGGCTTAGGGTTTCGGTGTTCTTTGCTAGATTCCGGTCAATTCAGACGGCGAAAATCCAATTGGACACCACCACTGCAACCACCGTCTCCAAATCTATAAAACCCCTATGTCTCTAGCAACCGTTTCGTCGGCTGAGAGTTCGTGTTCATCGACCCTTTTTTGTGAAGTGGTGGACGGCAAATGGTGAGTTGTCGTGGCTGGGAAGGTTAGGCGTTTTGCAGGGGACGATGGGAGGAGTCAAATGGTGGTGGTGGTGGTTAGGGTTTTCGTCGTTCAGAACGGCTGAAAACCAGTAAAAACGAGTCGCATGTCGCGGTTGTCGTGGCCGGCGATCGGCGAGTGATGAGGGGTTGTGAAGGGTATGGTTTTGTAGAGGGGAGGATGGGGGTTCAAATGGTGGTGACAAGGGTGATTTTGGGTGGAGGAATTGCCGGAAAAAGGGTAAAAAACGTCAAGGACGTCGTCTGCTAACGTGCGCTGGAGGACTGTTATAGGCGGTAGTCTGCTAACGTGCGCTGCCAATGTAAAATGACCAATTTACCCCTTTACCGTTACATCAAACATTTTTCCGTCACTTTAAAGGTGGGAATCTGGAATAAATGTAGCTTGGGATACCAACTTGGGATTTCGTTAAACCTTGGGTGGGAATATGTCGTTTACTCTATTTTAAGTGTATCATTCTGAAGAGGGTCCAAAAACAAAATATTATAAGTAAAAGAGAAAAAACAGAATGGGTCAAGGATCTATTTGAAAGCTATTTTAAATGTTAATTTAATAATAAATATAAATTTAATTCTTTAATGTTCGTGCTTTTTCAGGAATAAAAAACTGATCAAGGTCCCAATGTCCCACTTCTCTTGGGGAGAAGTAATGAATTTAGCCGTTTTTGGTAAATCAGGTAAAATCACGTGTATTGTATTGCGGTTGTTTGTTTGCTTGTTGACTGATTCTTTATCGCCATTTGTATTATTTTGGTTCATTGAGTCCATTTAAATAAGCTCATGAAGGTGTTCTTTCAGTTAGTCCACCAAACAAATTAAAATCATTATTCTTATCATACAAGCAAAATTTATATAAACAATTGACCCTATAATTCTCCATCCCAGATATCCTCGATTGACTTAAAAGGACCAGTTTCTGATACAAATAAATCAAAAAGATTCCCTCTTTGCTGAGGAATTTGCTCTATCTTATGAACTTCTTTGAGACTTAACTTCCAATCAAATATCTCAAGGTTTTCTTCCATTCTTTCTTTGTTAAAGCTCTTCACAGCTAAACTGACCCCTTGCTCATAAACCCATCTGAGAGCAACCTTCTCATGCAACAAAATAAACCTCAGTTACTTGTCCTGAAAACAACGAAATAATTAATGTCAACAAGAAAAAAAAAAAAAAATTTACCTGAGCAACTGTCTTCCCTTTGGTACTTGCAATCTCTTTCAATACTTCACACTCCAAGACTCGGATTCCTCGGCCTCCTAATGGCGAGTAAGCTGTTATGTGGACGCCATTTTCGTTACAGAAGTCTCTCAGCTTCTTCTGCTGCCAAATTGGGTGCATTTCCACCTTACCAAAACAAATTAGTGTGAGCGTGTGTATATTTATATTATTATTATTATTATTATTATTATTATTATTAAGGAGATCTGAAACTAACTTGATTGACGGCAGGAGGGATTTTAGCAGTGGCCAGTAATTTCTCGAGCTTCTTGCATGAAAAGTTGCTGACTCCTATGGATTTTGTAAGACCAAGCTTTTGACACTCCTCCATGGCCTTCCAAACAGACTCTAAGTCCATCGGCAGAATATCTTCTGTTTTACATGGAAACCCTGTTCCTGGTTTCAAGCTTCCCGGAAAATGAATGAGATAGAGATCAAGATACTCCAACCCAAGATTCCTACAATATTGAAACAAAATATTAAAGATTTTCATACAAAAATTCAGTCTCTTCACACTAACGTTTGACCGGACTACGTTACTTGAGAGTGTTTTTAATTGCAGGGAGGACAAGGTCGTGGTGTGCATCGTCGATCCACAATTTTGAAGTGATGAAAAGCTCATCGCGTGATTTGATGAGGCCAAGCTGTAAGGCTTCGGCTATGGCTTCGCCAAGAGATTTCTCGCTCTGGTAGATTGCAGCAGTATCAAAATGTCTGTAGCCGAGTTGAATTGCATGGAGAGCAGATTCTTTTACTGAGTCAGTTGAGTTGAACGGAAATTCAGCAGTGCCAAAGCCTACAAGAGGAATAGTTTTGCCTGTTGTGGGTAAGGGTGCCACTGGAATCGTCACCATTTTCACAAGACAACTCCGATGGATTAAGCGATTGCTTGGTTCTTAACTATTTAGGTCGTTGGTTTCTAGCTCCAATAATTGAAGAGGAAAACAATTTATAAAGAGAATTAGAAGACAAGCCGGCGGATGATTATTATCAATGAACAAAAGAACAAACCGCCACCGGCTAAATTATGCAATATATAGAATTGAATAAAATAAAAATGCCATTACCAATTTGTCGACATTGTGTGGAAAGAGTCAAAATTGAAGAAAACATAACATTGCATTCATATAATATATGAAAAGAGAGTTTTTGCCAATTTTTTTTTTTTAATTTTATTATTATTTTTTCAAATGAGATGAATACTTGAGAGGGTTTTTAAGTAAATAACATTACATATACAAATAGGATATACAAAGAGGAGATTCTAATGTTATAAGTTTTATTCTTACAACTTATTTATACGTCGTGATATTGTTTGTTAGAATAATGAGAATTTCTTGTGATAAACTAATATTATTCATAACGTATCCACGTTATATTAATTATATATTTAGGATTGAAATTTATGATTTCTAACCTTATATATATTATTGTTTTTTCAACAATTGTAGGTAGATATGATTGTATATCAAAACAAAATCATTGTAGTTATCTCTTTCAACTTTGTAATATTTTATATGAGTAAGTTGAAGGTCTCAAAAGGAATCGTCTTTTTTGAAAACGATTTTAAATTATACGTTAACTTAATAAATAAATTAATTATATATCAATATCATGTATGTGAATTCTAGTAATACTTTAATGTTCTTGATCCATATATCCTTTTCGATATCAATAGATTTATATATTTCAACAATAAAATAAAAGGTGATAATGCTGCAGGCCCTTGTGCCCTACATCTTTTACAGGGCAATAAACGAATTCAGAACTTAGATGTGTTTTTTTATTTCTTCTTTTGGTCTATAAATTCAAAGTACATTTAATTAAGAATAATATTTACCAAACAATACTCTATTTTACTGGTGGAATTTAGAAGCCACAACTTGAACTTAAATTTCTCCATCCCAGAACTCCTCGATTGATTTGTAAGGACCTTTTTCTGATATGAAATATTCAACATAATTTCCCCTCCTCTGAGGAATTTGCTCTATCCTATGCAATTCTTCTTTAGTTAAATTCCAATCAAATATATTCAGGTTCTCTTCCATTCTTTCTTCGTTAAAGCTCTTTACAACTAAGCTTACTCTTTGTTCATGAACCCATCTGAGAGAAACCTTGACATGGCACCAAAATAAACCCAAATTCAATGGTGAAATAATGAGATATTAAAACTAAAGATTGAAAAATAGTCAAGCACTACTTTATACTTATCTACTATATATATTGAATTATTCTTCTATTTAATGATTGATCTTGTATTTCCCACAATGCTTCAAAGTTTATCTTAATTTTCTCAATATTATTTTCACCACTATAAGCTTTTACATGGATTAAATATTTTACATAATCTATCGCTTAACTTCTATGTTTCATGGATATGATCGTTTTATTACAGAAGAAGAAAACAGAAGAAGAAATCATATGCTAATAATGCCACTCTTTAATAATACCATCGTGATACCATAGACTTTCTTTATAACCTATACAAGAGAGAGCAATCTAGTAATATAATTGGGTGGCTCAACTTTGAATTTCAAATGTATGCAGTTTTGGAAGCAAGTGATTGTATGTAGATGTATATATAGAAAATGGAGTTTGTTGGAAGATTCAGGCCAATTGAGATAAGGAGAGGAATAAAGTTCCAAAATGAAAATACCAACAGTAAAGCTTTAACAACTAAATAATTAATTACCTGAGCAACTGTCTTCCCTTTGGAATTTGCAATGTCTTTCAGTACTTGACATTCCATGACATGGTGATTTCCCCAAAGTGTGCTTCCACTGGCTCCTAATGGCGAGTAAGCTGTTAGATGAATACCCTTTCCCTCACAGAATTCTCTCAGCTTCTTCTGCTGCCATATTGGGTTCATCTCCACCTTATCAAAACAACAAAATTTTTACATATTTGATTATCAAGAGTTAAAACAGAATTAAATATCTTGCATATTATTGACCAACTTGATTGACAGCAGGAGGGATCTTTGCACTGGCAAGTAACCTCTCAAGCTTTTTGCAACTGAAGTTGCTGACTCCAATGGATTTTATAAGACCAAGCTTTTGACACTCCTCCATGGCCTCCCGAACAGACTCCAAATCCATTGGAAGAACATCCTCTTCCTCCCATGGATACTCAACCCCTGGTCTCAAGCTTACCGGAAAATGAATGAGATAGAGATCAAGGTACTCCAACCCAAGATTCCTTGAAAAAAAAAAAAAAAAAAAAAGAGATTAGAAGTTTCCATTAAATTGGCAAATTTTTTTTTTCTTTTTTGTTTAACATAATTAGACTGCTAAATTACTTGAGAGTGGTTTGTAGTGCAGGGAGGACAATATCATGATGAGCATTGGCAACCCAAAGCTTTGAAGTGATGAAGAGCTCGTCACGCGATTTGATAAGTCCAAGACATAGAGCTTCAGCTACTGCTTTGCCGAGAGACTGCTCGGTCATGTAAATTGCGGCGGTGTCAAAATGCCTGTAGCCGAGTTTAATTGCATGGAGAATAATTTCATCTACAGATTCAGTTGAACTGAACGGAAACTCCGCTGTGCCAAAGCCTACAAGAGGAATGGTTTTGCCATTTGAGGCTAAGGTTGTTACTGGAACGGTCACCATTTTTTCTCAAGATTTGAGAGTGGTTACTACTAGAGGAAGTTTTGTGGCTTGAATTTATCTGATACGATTCATGGCTTTATAGGATAACCACAAGCAGTGAAAGAAAAGTACAAATAGACAGCTTGTGGATTTATATATTAAAGAAAGACATTGTGAAGTGGGAGTTGTTGAACAATTTAGTGAAAATCCCACCTTAGTAGAAAAAAGCTTTTGTTTTGACTCATTCAAGGACCCAAGGATCTTGTCTGGCTTCGTTTTCAAAAAGGGCCCGTGAAGAACATCTTCGAATTTCCAAACACACTCTCAACTGTAGTTTCCAGACGCCTTAAACAATTATTCATTCAAAAAAGAATAAGAAGTTAATCCAGAATACCAATAGATAGAGAAAGAAATTAAAAAAAAAAAAAAAATATGCAGTATATGGCTGACATGAATCAATATAGTTTATCATAATTAAGTGTGGCAAATAGTTCAATTTTTTTTTTCTTTTTTTTAAGATTAATTACTTCAAACTTTGTTGTTTTTATTGATAATTTTCACTCTATGACCTTTGTTGATAACACATTGATGAACGACAGGTGAACGACTGTTTCCACCGAAGTTTGCCCTAATGACAATTTACTACCCGAAAAGTTTCAAAATATATGCTGTTAAGTTTTATTGAAGGAGTATAAAAAAGTAAATTCAAAAATAGTAGATGTTGTCACCTTAGCTTCCCCTGATCTAGGAAGAGATCGTAGAATCTTCCTCACTAGCTCACTGTTGGAGTCATATTTGCCAAGAGATTTCAAGGCATTGATGGTATCGGTGAAGCGAGTGAACATTTGTGTGATTGATTCATCACCCCTGAGGCTGAGCTTAAACCTTCTGTGTCTATGTTGTCTCGCAGCAACACAAACAAAAAAATTAATACCAGTAAATGATCAAAAGGAAAACCGAAATGAAGTAGGAAACTATGGCTCGAAAGCAAGAAGCAAGGGAAACTTTATCCCTTATATATAAACGAAAAAGTCCCCTCCCATCTCCCATCTCCCCCTCCTCATCTTCATCTTTTTCATCTCATCTCTTTTCCGATGAATACGCATCTTTCAAGCTTGTTTTCGGTCGATTGGCACACTGAAAATTCACTCTTCCACCACCGCTGGAACCCTCTTCACCCTCTCTGTTAAACCCAACGTTCAATCAGCTTTCCCTATTGTCCGTTTACAGTCTACCGGTTGTTTTTGGGCTGCCCACCACCTGTTCGTAAAATTCCCCAACCAACTTGCCCATCTCCGACCACCAAAGTGCAACCTATCGATACCAAATGACTCATCGGATTCTCCTCTTCATAACCCCCATCAGTTTGGCCCGAGCTTGTCCATCGTTTTTGCCGGCAACTCCCTCTTGGGTTTGTGCAACTTTGAAGCTGGTGTTGTTTTAATTGGAGCTTTTGAGGAATTAATTGGGGCTAATTGCTTGTTTGTTTGGAGTCAGGCTTGTTGGTAGTCTGTTGTGGTTTTGTACTTTGGTTTTCTGGTCGATTCCAGTCGCTGGCGGTCGTTTTCCCCGAGGTTTTGCAAAACTCCAAGTGTTTGTAAAAAGGCCTCAAAGAGCCTTCTGCCCGCGCTCAGCGCTGGAATTTAAAAACATTTTCTTCTTTGATGATTGATTGATAATACGTATTTCGTGATGTGTGATTAAATTGTTTAATAGATTATTGATTTGGGTTGATAATGTTTGAAATTTGTGGTGGTTTGTGGCAGTGGTGATGACTGTATTGTGATTCTAGTGGCGGGTTTGGAGCTATTGGACCTGTGATTATTCGGACTCAACATTGGAGCGAGACATGACAAATTGCTTCTTGACAGTCTACGAAATCAGATTGCGACCTAGAAAAACACAACTGTTAATGATAGAGTGGCGACATCAGTAGCCCAACCAGCATCAAAATAGGCCAGTATATGAAGACCAAGGTCACGATGAAAGGTGAGACCACGAAACAAAGTGCCCTTAAGGTACCGAAAAATACCCTTAACATCGCACATGCCATAATGAGTGGGAGTAGTCAATCGTTGGGCTACCTGATTCACAACAAAGGCAATGTTTGGCCAAGTGAGAATGAGATACTAAAGACCAGTAACCATACTATGATGGAGAATGGTATCCGAAAAGGGATCATCATCGGAGGACAGTGAAGGTTCAGAGGATCTAATGAGAGTGGCACAGGGAGTGCAGGAGTCAAGCTCAAAGCATCGAAGTAAATCCACCATATAATGACGCTGAGATAGGTACAAAATAGTAGGGTCCTAGACAAATTCCATGCCAAGAAAGAAACCAAGAGACCCCAAGTCTTGACCCACAAGGTAGAGCATAAAGTAGAGACACAACCAGTGACAATTGATGGATCAGAACTAGTAACAACCAGATCATATTCATAAACAAGGAGGATCACCGTGAAAGTGGAGGTGCGGTGGATGAAAAGAGAGGAGTCAGATCGACTGTTGGTAAACTCATGATTAACCAGGAAAAAGTATAGTTGGTGGTACCACACACAAGGAGGCCGCTTAAGACTATAGATAGCTTTAATGAGATGACAGACATGGGATGGATGCCGTGGGTTGGTGAAATTGGGAGGTTGTTCCATGAATACTTCTTCAATCAAATAACCCTGGAGAAAGGTGTTATTGACATCATGTTGACAAAGCGGCCAACCATGCATTGTGGCTAGGGCAAGATGGTGCGAATAGTGATAGGCTTGACAAAAGGACTGAAAGTATCCTCAAAGTCCACACCAGGCTGCTGATGAAAACCCTTGGCAACCAGACGAGTCTTGTATCGTTCAACAGAACCATTAGCTCTACGCGTAACCTTGTACACCCAACGATAACCAACAAGATTCTGTTGAGGAGTATGTAGAACTAAGACCCAAGTTTTATTCCTTAGAAGCGCATCATGCTTTTCACACATTGCCTGACGCCAATGAGGGATAGATTGTGCCTGCTTGAAGGATGAAGGTTCATGAAGCATGGGATCCAAAGTCTCAGCAGTAAGAGTGCGTGGAAGGACATGAGGGGAAGAAGCCATGATGGAATTGATGTTGTGGCATCTCTGACGGAGAGGCGGTGATGGGGTTATAGAACTGTCAAACACAAAAATCGTAGTCATTAGAGGAGAGGCGCTAAATCCTCGAAGGAAGGGGATAGTGAACCAACTGATGGTGATTGAGGTAGACTCATGGAGTTTGACTAAGACTACAAGCCTGGGGAAGTTGGAACTGAACTAGTGGAGGGATCTAGAGCGACCGAGGGTGATGGTGTCTCAACGGCCAAAGCAGAGGGAGAATCAAGACTAGAACAAAAAAATATCAAAAAGCTAAACAGTCGTGGATGGAACAGACAAGGTTCGAAAGTCCAACGAAGGCGTCGATGAAGTGGTAGTGGTAGCATAACTAAGAAATGTCGTCTCATGAAAAACCACATGGCGAGAAATGTAGACATGGCCTGAGGGTATATGGAGGCAATGATACCCACAATGCAACAAGTCATACCCTAAGAAAATGCAGAACGTGGGGCTAGTTTGTGTGCAACTGTCGAAGTAAGCAATGGATAACAGGCACAACTAAAAATCCACAAGAAGCAATAGTTAGGAGGACACCAAAAAAGTGCTTCAAAGGACACCGATTCTTGAGCAGTGGCATGTGTAACATGTTAATCAAGAAAACAGCAATAGAAAAGGCATCCACCCAAAGGATGGTGGTAAGTTAGCTTGTAATAAAAGACAACGTCCGTTTTCCACCATGTCTCAGTGTTTCCTCTCAACGACACCATTTTGGCCAGGGGTTTAAGGGTAGTATAGTTGATGGGTAATACCGTGAAACTCAAGAAGAGAACAAAATGACTTATTATCAAACTCACCACCCCCATTGGAACGCACAATTTTAATAGGACACGAAAGTAATTTTTCTACCAATAATTGGAATTTTTGAAAAATTATACTAACATCAGATTTATTAAACATAGGAAATAACCAACTAAATTGATTGAAGTTGTCTGCAATTGGTAGGTAATATTTAAAGGATGACAAAGATGGGATAGGAGCAAGACCCTAGACATCAAGATGAAGAAGCTCAAGCGGGGCTCGAGTGGTGTATGTTCGTTTGGCAAAGGGAAGACGACAACCTTTACTAAGAGGACACAAATGACACACAATAGAGAGATCCTACAGACCACAGATAGGACTAGACACAGAGGCAAGCACAATCTTGAGCACAGTAGAGGAAGGGTGTCCAATACGATAATGTCAAACATCAGACGACACACAAACAAAGAAAAGAGCATTGATAATTGGAGATGTTAACTAATAGAGCTCGTTACTGTTGCGATCAGAGAGAAGAATCTGACCCATCCGTTTTGCCTTAATCACGAAAATATATGAGTCAAGAAGACAAGTTGAGTCAGTATCTGATGCAAATTTATGAATAGACAACAAATTTTTACGTAGTGACGGAACACACAAAAAATCAGATAAAATAATGTAAGAACCTAGGGACTCTGACAGACACAAAGAACCCTTATGAGTAATAGATAGAGACCGACCATTCCCAGCAACAACGAAAGACATACCATTATGAGTCTAAGGAGAGGACAAAGCAGCAGTATTAGGTGTCATATGGTGTGTGGCCCAAAATTAAGAACCCAGTTGGAGTTAGAGGTATCACACACAGACATAGTAGTAAAGGGCATGGCAACAACATCCATAAGTAGGCAAAGTTTTCGCATTGGGGATAAACGCGAGCGGAGTGCCCATATTTTTCATAGATCTAACAGGTACCTCGAGGAAGACCATCTACTAGAGTAGGTAGCAAGGGAGGCTAAAATGAGGGAGAGGGCAGTTGTAGAGTGGATGACTGAGTACACTAAAGAGAGAATTGAGTACCACGACCACGTCGCGATTACCATGATTGCGAGATCAAGAGTTGCGTTTATTGGAAGAAGAGCCAAAGGCCCCCAGAGGATTGTGACTAGTTGTTAATAGTAGCCATAACCACAAGTTAGGTGGATAAACCCGAGTGCTTCTGTTGAAGTTATTCTTCCTAAACTAGAAGATCATACAAGTCATTAAAAGTGGTAGAGGGTCGGAGATGCATAGATGTGATGAATCCCTGATACTTATGACCTAAGCCATCTATAGCATACTCAACCAAGTCAGAATTTGAGACTAGAAAGCCAGCTACAGCAAGGGAATTAGATAAGGACTTGGCTACAATAAGGTAATCAACCATTGTTTGATCAGTAGTCTTACAAGAAGTATGCCATTTGTCATGAATGGATTGAAGATGAACATCGAAGAGCGGATTTAGTCGTCGATCTAGGAGAGACCATGTTTCGACAGCAACGGTGCATGGTAGTAACAAGGGTTGGACAATGGAAGATGAAACAGTGGACTTGATCCAAGTCAAGACCAAGTGATCAATCCTCAACCAATGAGAGTAAGTGGGGTTGGTGGTGCTATTCGGAAGAAAGGGCACTAGAGGATGCACATCACTTATGATCGAGAAGTGGTGACCGACTGCAGAAGAGAGGGCTAGTGGAAGATGGACTGGCATTGTGGGTGAGGAGAAGCCCGGTGGTGGGAAAAGGAATCCACCTATAAATGAGGAGGACGATGGGATCGTCAGCTGGATGACCGACGATGAGAACTAGGCTAGGAGAAAAGCACCAGAATCAGTGATTGGAATGATCACAACATTAGTAGGTAAAGATGAAGATGCCATGGGAGATCATAGGGGTACAGGTGTCACTTTTCAAAGTTTGAGNTTTCTACTAATTAGGGGTAGAATGGTCATTGTGTCCCAAAAGAAGAATTCTCTAGAAAACTCAAGAATCTTTGTTTTAGGCTCTTCGCCGCGGCGAAGTATTTTCCGTCGCCTCGGCGAAATAGGGCAGAACCTACCCGTAATGCCACTTCTCCTCCTCGCCGCGGCGAAGTTTCTTCTTCGCCCCGGCGAAGTTTAAATTTCCAACTTCATCAAAACTCAACCCATTTCAAGGCAACAATTCAACCAACTCAACATACAAACTCAATTTAAGTTAAAACAATAAACTTTTAGCAAATCTTAAATACGTACCTCAAGTGGGATATTACATGAAGTAAGAGGTTGACAGGGGTTAATTTGCAAGAAAGCAAACTTGAGAAGGTGGCAGTTGCTAGGAGAAAAGGAAAAACACTAAAGGCAAGGGGGGAAACTATCGGTTTCCAAAGATTAGGGGCACAAAAGGAACTTGCCATTTTGATACCGTGTGAGAAAATTAGTGAAGAAGTTTTATATTGAATTGATAAGATGTTACAATTAGAGGTGGGAATTAGGTTCGGACCCAAAGGACCCAACCCAAAACCCGGTCTTAGGACCGAACCAAGCCCGAGGGAGGAGGGACCAGGTCCAGGCAGGTCCCTCCTCCAAGGCTCGGGCTTGGGACCGAACCTAGGTTTGGGCTCAAACCCCCTCCCCAATTACATTTAACCCCTTGTAAAATATCTAAAGCCCCATATTTAGTATGAAATTAACAATAAATGTAGGGGTTAAAAAAAATTTACAAAAAAAATATTAAAAAAAAAAAAAGGATCAGTCCGGGCCCTAAGAAATCTAATGGGGCCAAGACTAGTCCTTAAAAAATTGGACCCGGTCCCAATTTGGGCGCAGGCCTTGCCCACCTCTACTTACAATACAAAGTCCCGATATATAGGAAAACCTAAGCACATAATTTAGGAAAATAAATCTTAAATATACACATAATAATGAATTATATATTATAG